TTCCTGCTGCACCTGTTAAAAGCAGATGTATTATGTCTCCATCTGGTCACCTTCGGTAAGAGAGCTTTTATTAACCCCAGCTGCTGGAACATGCACCTGATGCCGAACTTGTCCTTTCTCCCCTGTAGGTGTTTCTTCTCTCCTGTGAAGAATCTGCCCCCCTGTAGGGAAGAGGAGCGTGGTGTAGAGCCCTGCTGCCTGCGAGGAGCAGAAGGACGGACAGGGGATGAGCTGGAGGGAGCAGACTGACCGGACAGGAGTCTTCTAGTGGTAATTCACTTCTGGGCTAGTAGGGAAGGAAAGGAATGGTTGGACCTGTGAGACTTCGGAATTCAGATAGTGCTGTATTTATTACAGAGAAATAAAGGTGTTCATTTGGACCTATCACTTGTGCATGTTCTTTGTTTAATTCCCAAGCTAAAATTCAGCTACCAAAATGTTAACAGTATCAGCTACTTAAAGGACAAGGCACAATTGTCTATTTCTTGCAAACAGGAGGTGCAGCCCAGCGAGGACTGTGCCTGCGTGACTCGGCAAAAGCAGGTCCGCAGCTGAGCTGAGGCTGGATAGGCTGCACTCCGGGCAGAGGAGGGGCTGGAGAGGGGTAATCCAAGATGTGTCCTACAGTATTTTTGGTAACAAATTATTTTTCCATCGATACCCTCTTCCTGAAGAGCTGTTCTGACCCCAGAGCTAAGAAAATACGACCTGTCTGGCTGTGTGACTCGGATACTGTTGGCTGACCTTACTTAAAAGCCTTAGCAGGTTACGCAATGTTTTCAAGGTCACCAGCGTCGGATTAAGTTCGGAGCTGCTTTCCTCTTGCAGTCACTATAGCAGAACAGTCTCATGAGTGCTGCCTGCAGACTGGCCTCCAGCAGGAGACCCTGCTCCTCATGTTGGTGTGAAAGAGAATTTTGAGGCTTCAGCTGGAGTTTTAGTGGCACAGCGGTGAAACCATGACACTTCCAGATACTTAACCGCTGAATTTTCATGGCAGAATCAATCTGTTAAATGCTGACTTCTGGCTGTTGAATATTGGACGAGTTCTCGGCCCCTTGCCTGGATCTGTGAGGAAATCCAGGTCTAGATGGTAAAAGCTGGCAGCAGGTACTGGAGGCTGGTGCTGAAAGTCCTGCCCCTTCTAAATGTCAAGACCTAAATTCTTGGTGGCAGATAATGTCCTGAGCTGTGCCTGGCCTTATCTCAAGGGGTGCCTTGTGCTCTCCTGAGAGACAGCCAAGGGAAAAAGTAGATGCCAGAGACTCTAAGCCCAAGTGCCCTGTGTGCTGAGCTGCCCCAGTGTGAGCAGGGAGGAACCACCGTAATGAAGTTGTTTTAACAAACTCCCTTTCAGAAATAAATGCTAGACTGATGCTGGGGTGTGCTGGGTCGGGGTGGAGAAGCTGTTAAGGAGAACCATCGGGAGCCCCTGCAGCAGGTGTGTGCTGTCTTCTGACCCATCTTGGCCAAGTGCTAGCAATGCTGCTTCTGGAGCTGTGGAGACTCTGGGTGTCTCTTCAGCAGCTTTTCCCGGTGAATGCAGTGGACAGTCTCTAGAAGGCCACTGCCGGTGTGGTGACGGTGTTGAAGGCAGATGTCCAGTGATGCAGGTGCAGCTGCCAGAGGAACTCTGGCTGCCAGTGCAGGTGGGTTGAAAGGAGGTGCAGTTCCTTGTCACTCGGGAGTCCAGGCCATGTCACGGGAACACGAGTGACCCCTTGAAGCAGGCCCCTCTGGTGACCGCTGCTCAGGAGCACTTGTACCTTCAGGCCTGCACTGACACTTCCTCTTCAGGTGAGCCATGAGGATCATGCTGCAGGTTCACCATCTGTTGGCAGTTGGCTGCAGACAGGGAATGAGACCTGAGGTATGAGTGTGGTCACCCTGAACCCGGGGGCCCCATGGACATGGCAGGAGGCACAGCGGGTGGCTGAGAAGTGCCCGCTGTCGTGGCCAGCAAAGGCAGGGTTCCTGTGTGGCCGCCGGCAGGGCTTTGAGCTGCCGTATTACAGCCACATTTGCTGGTGTTTGGTGCTGGGAATGCTCCAGGTTAGGAGTGAGGATGAACATTCTGATTTGGGGAAAATGGTTCTGATTCATGAAGTGTCTCTGTCCTTCAACTTCGTTTCATCAAAGTTGAGTAGGAAAAAGGAGTGAGCCCTGGCCCTTGCCAAGTCCCCTTCCACAAACTTGTCCCGGTCACAAGGGAAAAGAGCTGGAGATTGCAGCTGAGTCACCAAGGGACATTTTGGCCATGAATTCTCACCAAGTTCGTCACGATGGAGAAATCCCTTGGGCTGACACACGTCAGTAGTCAGAGCTGGGGATCCAATTCAAATAGCAGAGGGAGCAAAGGCTTAGGACCACGTGCGTCTGGTGGCTTCAGCCGCAAGTGTCTGGGGTAAGGCAAAGGCTCTCGGCCAACTGGGCACGGCCAGGACAGGGTCTGCTCATTCCCTCCCATCAGCCACAGATATCTGCCCTCTGAAGCCAAGGGCCAGGATTTGAGCCAGGGAACCCTCCCCACACAGCCGGGAGCAGAGGAGCTCTGCTGGCAGCTGTCACTTCTGCCCCATGGCTCTTCTGATTGTGCCTAGATAAGCAGAGCCCCCTCCAGAGATTCCTCAGAGCTGCAAGGCGAGGAACTCATCCTTGCCCCTGGCCTCCCTCCCTGTGATTAACTTAGCTCTGCTGGGATGGTTTTCCTCTGTGATTCATTGTGTAGGAGTTAAAAGATCTCCCTTTTTTTTTTTAACACAGATGAGGCAAAAGATGCTGATGTGCCCTGGCAGAGCTCTCCTGCCCTGTTCCCTAACGACTGGGCATTGCTGTGCATCAAGGTGCCGTGTCCCTCCCTGCCCCTCATGGGGCCACCACCTGGTGGTGATGAAGGTGGTCCAGGTGACCGGCTGGCCCCCAGAGCTGAGGCAAAGCCGGTGCTTTCCCCATGTACCTCCGTATCTCACCGTAACGAACGTGGCGCTTCGCCTGCGATGTGGGGGCTGCTCATGCCGGGCGCCGTCCTGCAGGCAGCGGGGATGACAAAATGCCTGATGGCGATGGTGTTAGCTGCTGGAGAGCCCAGGGAGGGGCTGCATTTCCAGCTGATGCTGTCATGGTTTCAGTAGCCAGATTTCCCAGCAACTGGGAATGGCCCCCGCAGATTCCCAAGCCTCCTGCAGCTGGGGAGTGGGAGATGGGGCGGGTAGAGCAGGGGCTGGGCTAAACAACAGCCTTTTGGGAAGGCTGCCTGGTCTGTGTGGTCCCAGCTGCTCTGAAGTTCAGACTTTTTGCAGTCTTGTGGTGTTCTCTGCTGCCGCTGTTTGTCCTGCAGCTTGTCTGGGCTGCGGTGCCGCATCTGCCCACCCTGCTCCTAGCTGAGCCCAGCGCCGCTGCAAGGGCAGCCGTGGTCTCCCCTGCGAGATGGTCGGACGTCACTGGAAAAACCTTCCTCAAGACCCTGCCTGCTCCGGTCCTACTCTGGGGCGTGAGGTAGTGGGGTTTCACAGCCAGGGAGGAGCTGTGGGCAGTTGTCAGGACAGCAGCTGTACCTGCGCTGCAGAGCAGGAGGAAGCCACAGGGCTTAGCAGCAAATGGCAGTAAGTCCTGGTCCATGTTTTGCCCTGGCCTGACAGGGATAGCTGTGCTTGGTCAGTGACGTGTCAATCTGGGATAAAACCTGCTTCGTTTGGGTGAGTTCCTTCTGTTCACTGAGCACCTCTTGTACCCCATGCAGGAGGCAATAAAGCTGGCAGAACCGGGTGAGCGTGGGGCTGGGCTTGTACCCGCTCTTGCACTTTGCACAGCCCGGTACTTCCCTGCACCCCTGGGCTGTCAGAGCCATGTGCACGGCTTTATGCACCGGCTGCATCTTCCATTTGGTGCCCAAATGTCGCTGTGCAAGTGATCCTGCAGCAGTGCTTAGGGGGCCCTGTAGCATCATCCCCTTTTCCTGCAGAGACGCTGAGACATTCGGATGAAATCATGTCCCCAGGCTGGTCAGCAGATGTGGAGGACCTGAATGGTGGGAACCCGTAACAACACTGATGTACTGCATATCCAGTGCTCGCTGCTCTGTGGACAAATTCCTTTCTCCAAAATGCCCCTCCTTGCATAAGGATGTGATTTTCTTCTGCCTTGGTGGGTCTTCGTTTCACAGTCTCTGTCTAATCCATGGACTTGATCTGCTCAGGGCTTGGTGACAGGGTGTGTGTGTGACACTCCTCACCTAGGACACGAGTGCAGGACGACTCGTGTTCACCTTGCCACCACCTTGCAGAGTTTGGGGAATGCTGGTGGGCAACAGCTGGAGCTGCGTCTGCAGCGTGCTCGTACCTGCATGGGCTCAGGGGCCTGGCTGTATGAAACACAAGCTGCTCATGTGCTGCAATGGCAGGGCTTCACGAGGTCGGAAGACATGAAGGCAAAGCCCCAGCCTTGGATGGGTTTTGGAGCTGGTCTCGTGCAGCCGTTGCTGCCCGCTGTAGCCTGGCTTAAATAAGTCTGATATAGCAGGTTTGCCTGGATGGGCACAGGTGGGACACAGCCAGGCTTTACTGCATGTGCAGGGACTGCTGTGTGGCACCTACGTGCTCCACATCCCCCCGGCAGGTGTACGACAACCCTTGCTGCCCTCCCGTACTGCAGCAGCCCCTGCGGCCCAGGTGTGCAAGGTGCTGTACGGTCCCATCAGAGCTGACTGGCACCTTGCTACTTCATGGCACTACAGGTGCGGACCCTGCTCTGTGGCATCTGTGTTATAGCTGTTCTGACTGCCCCAGTCACCGCCTCTCACCCTCATTTTCCCCTCACTGCTCCCGAGGGAGGCTGTGTCACAGTACACTGGGCAAGGTGGTGTGGGTAATTGCTTTTGTTAGACCAACTGATAGAGAATGCGGAAAAAATAGACGAGCCGTTGGGCGCACCAGCCCTTGTTCAGAGCACTGCAGCATGGCACAGCAAAGCAAGTGTCCAACTTGCTGCGTCGCATCCTTGGATGATGGTGGTGCTTCTCTTCGGGACCTGCCCGTGCCAGAGACATGGTGCTGGGGTGTTCTAATGAGGCAGGGCTCTGCCTCAGAGCTCCATTTTCCCTCAAACCCAGAGCACGCACGGGCCAGTCACGTCAGGAACCACTTGCAAACGTCTTTGGCTTGGGGACACCTTGGGAGCAGAGCTGGGTGCCGCAGAGGGGAGGGAAAGGGCCATCCCTGGATGGTGATGTGGTGGCATTGGGGGGGGGCTGAGCCTGCCTGTGGGGGGCAGGAGGTACCCACTGGTTATGGGACGCTGCGAAGTGCCTGCTGACCACCCTGCTGTGAAGGACTGCCATGGGCTGGTGGCTGGAGGGTGCAGAGACGTGCTGGGGGGAGGCCAGCCTTTGACTTGTGGCTGGCTGTGTAACGCGGTGTCTCTGCGCCCTGCGATGGGTGTTACAGACGGGAGGGGCTTTACGCCCGGTGAGTCTGGCAGCCTTTCGCTGTAACGGTCTGCTGTCTTTCCGCACAAGGCACCAGCTGTGCTGCAGCTGTGTCTTGCCACACTTGGCTCCCTTGGGAGAAGCCTTCTGGCAGGTGACTTTGGCAGCCACCCCCGCGTGTTTGCCCATAGCTGCTGTTTTTGAGGCAGCCCTGGCAAAGAGGCAGCGCTCTCAGCACCGTCGGCAGCTCCCAGCCCATGCTGTGGGGCAGTCACTCTTGTCACAGCGATGGAGCTGCACGGAGAAGGGAGCAGCAACTTTCCTTACATTGCATCTGCGATGAGACAGCTGCCGGGGAGCTCTGGCACGTCCTATCTTTCATTCTCCCTGGCGGCAGCAGAGCCAGCCAGCCTCCAGCCTGCTGCTACCACAGGGCATCCTTGGCACGGTGTGGCTCAGGCTCCTGGCCTCCTGCGCACCTGGTGGCAGAGGGCCCGAGGCAAAAGGTTGGAGTGTAAGACCACAGGGAAACCTCTCTGCTCCCCCCATCAGAGAGGAGAGATGGTCAGTGATGCCTCCCCACCGTACCCGGGGCAGAGAGTGGTGGGGTGGGCTGTGCGTGCACCGGTGCACCCGGAGGAAACGGCCCAGCCTGGGGTGAAGGTGGGCAGTGGGTCGCAATGCTTAGCTCTCGCCCCACTGCTTCGAGCCCCCTCCCTGAAGCCCAGCTGCAGCAAAGCGAGCAACGCGGGGAGCTGGAGTCCCTGAGCCCCCTGTGTCATTTACATACGCCTCACCGGCGCCAGTGGCACAGCAACCTGGGTTCGTGCAGCACTGCAGACCCTCTCCGAAACAGCCTCCCTTCCTCTGCTTCCTGCCATGGCCCTGGGCTTCATGGTCCTGCTCCTGGTGGGCTCAGTGGGGACAGGTAAGGGTGGTGTGGCTGAGGGAGCTGCTGTCTGGGGGGGGCACTGCCGGGTGGCGGGCAGGACTGGGCTGTGCCAGGAGGATGTTAGTCCGAGTAGGGCATTTTGCTCCAGGGCCGTGTGGTGTGATGAGCAGGATGGAGGTTGGGTAATGGGGTTGCCTCAAGAGAGCAGGGGGACATTTTAGGGCTGAGGGCGATGGGGGACGTGGCTCAGCCCGTCAGTAACTGCATCCTTGGTGTGTGCAGCTTCCGGGGCTCAGCCCGTGCTGACCCAGCCATCCTCCGTGTTGGTGCTGCCTGGGCAGACTGCTCGGCTGTCCTGCACCCTGAGCCCCCAGTACAACATCAGCGAGTTCGGCATCTCCTGGTACCAGCAGCGCCCGGGGCACTCCCTGAGGTATCTGCTCTATTACAACTCCGAGGAAGACAAGCACAAGCCCGCCAAGATTCCTGACCGCTTCTCTGCTATCAAAGACCTCGCCAGCAATGCCTGCATCCTCATCATCACATCCACCTGTAATGAAGACAACGGCAACTATTACTGCTCCCTGTCACGTGCCTTCAACTGGTTTTAGAATCGGGGAACAAAAGCTTTCTGCATTTTCCCTTGCAACCCTGACGCAAAGCCCCCAACAGGGAGAACAGCAGCCCTAGGAGGAATGGAAAAAGACCCTCTTGCATGCTTGAGCAAGCCCAGCGGCACTGTGTTGTGCTGTGAGGTGCAACAACTTCCTCCTCGAGCCCAAGCATCCCCCATGGAGCATTAGACAGCCTGACATGGTGCGAGTCCCGCCAGGGCTCAGCCCAGGAACGCACAGGAGCAGGGATCTCCTGCTGCGGTGGGAGGATGGAGCGCTCCGCCGTGGCCTGGCTTTCCTGGGCTCTTCCAGCACTTGGCACAACGCGGGCGTGATCCCGGCTTGGACTTCTGCGCAGTTGAGCCCAAGCATCCCCCATGGAGCATTAGACAGCCTGACATGGTGCGAGTCCCGCCAGGGCTCAGCCCAGGAACGCACAGGAGCAGGGATCTCCTGCTGCGGTGGGAGGATGGAGCGCTCCGCCGTGGCCTGGCTTTCCTGGGCTCTTCCAGCACTTGGCACAACGCGGGCGTGATCCCGGCTTGGACTTCTGCGCAGTTTGGCTCACCTGATAATAAAGGTTAATCCTTAGCCACGCGGCTTGTGTCATGTATGTGGCGTCCAGAGGAGCCCCTTGGGCGCCTCTCCGTGGGCACGGCGCCATGCCCTGGGGTACCGGAGTTCCGAGGGTGAGCCAAAGGCGCTATGGCGTGGAGGTTGGG